TGATTATATTTAAATAAATTATATGAATGATATAATATTAAATATATAATAAATATAAAATAAATATTATATGATTCAATAACATCATTATTATTAAATTTACAAATATAATATTTGATATATTTGAAAATAAATGAAATTAAACAATGAATAAGTTATTAAACATATTAATATTCAATATTTAATGATGAAATAATAAAATATAATTATTTATAATATTTCTTATATTTCTTATTATTATTATTTTCATTATATTATTATATTCATCATTGAATAATGATAAAAATAATAAATATCAGAATGATTGAAATAAAAGAATAAAATAGAAATATAATCAAAATAAAGATATAAAATGATAAATATTATAAATAAAAATAAAATATCAATATTTTGATTATTATATTTCATAATAATAACTTATTCATTATCAAATTTAACAATAATATTCAATATTGATATATTGAAACATTCATATTTATTCAATTATAATATAACAATATGATGAGATTATAATAATGAATGAACAGATATTAATAATGTATAAGATGATGATATAGAATATGATAAATATCAAATATTTCATTGATATTATTACATTTAATAAATACAAATTTTATTATTAAATTCATAAATAAATGAAAATATAATAAAATATAATTATAATAATAAGAGAAATGATAAATAATAATGAATAATCAAAATAATTTTATTTATTTTCATCATAAATATTTATATTAATCAAATTAAAATATAATGATAATGATAATAAATATTGAATGAAATAATGATAAAATGATAATATAAAAATAATAATAATTTTAATATATTTGTATTTGATTTATAATAATAATCATTTAAATATATAATATTTCTATATCTATTACATTTCATAATATCTTATTTATTTACAATATTTAAATATATCAAAATGACATATTAATGATGAATTATATTTATTTTTAATTTTTAATCAACATAAAACCAAAATATTAAATAATAAGAATAGAAACAAAACATAAATAATATATAAATAAAATAAGAAATAATGATAATAATAAAATAAAGAATAAATAATGAAAAGAATAAGAGAAATATAATAAAAATAAAAATATATCATAATGATAAATAAAATATAATTTATAAAATATAATTTATAAAATAAAAATAAAAAGATAGAGAGAAAAAACAAAATAATACCATAACATACATAAAATTATAGTAAGAATGAATTAATAATCAAATAACAAAAAATAATAATTAAAATATTTGATTTTGAGAGAATGGAGGAAATGTTAAAGATAAACAAAGATGTAGATTTATAATGAAATATAAAAGCTCTTAAATACTACAACATTTTATTATGACGATAAACACTGAACACCAACCACAAATAATACAATCATTACAGTACATTTTTCACTAAGAACATTAACTTTAATAATAGACCAATATAATGAAAAAAGATTATAAAAATGAAAAGGGGGTTGTGGGGTTAAATACCGAGGTAATTCATTAACAAGTAATACTCTTGTTATTGGAGTTTTATGCACAAATCTAGGACTAATCGTATAGTCATGTGCTTGTGGACTCTCAGTTTTAACATTTAATGTTTCTGCATTACTTACTTCTGCTCTACATTTATAATTAAGAATTGGGAGGGGATTAGTTTTAAGATATTCAATGCATTTATTACTTGACTCTGGTGATTCTAATTTTATTAACGAATGGGGCATGTCAGGTCGAGGTGAGTTCATACAAATAATTCTTTGAATTTTACCAAATCTTATTACTGAATCATACAGGTCATTGCAGACAATTGCCCTTTTTATTGGCTGTTGAAAAGCAATAAATACTGTGGGGTTTGAGTTTGGTATATTGTGGGTTATCATATTTAAGACTTTTTCTTTTAAGATTCTTTTAATACTTTTAATTCTTATTTTATAAGAACTCCTTTCATACAACACATCTTTTTCTATTAATCCATCCTTCTTTTCTCTGCTCTTTTTGAAAGTGTTAAAATAAAATGAAGTTTGTTTAATGGAGTTAATAAGAAGTTAAATGTATTGTTGTTAAATAAAAATGTGTTATTTTAGAAATATGAAAGAAAAGGAAGAGAGAAAAGAAACAATACTTTTAGAAGAAAGAATGAAAGAGAATATTCACTTGACTCATTTTCCTTTGATTCTTTCAAAGTAAAAAGAGTAGTTTTGTTTGAAATCCAGTTTTAAGATAGAAGGAAACAGATAAAAGGGTAATATGATTTATAAATTAGTTTTAAATCACTTCTGTTATTAAGATGAAATCACAAAAACAATTTCATGATTGGATTATTAAAGAACCACTTGGTAGTGGAACATATGGTTTGTATTAATAAGTAGATTGGTTAAAAGATAAGATAATTTATAAGAATTAGGGAATGTATTTCGTTGTTTGAATATAAAAACAAATAAGAGTGCTGCAATAAAAATCATTAATGAAGAAAGTATTGCATTAAATGAAACTACTATTATTAAAAATCTACAAGGAAATGAAGGTATTATTCGATTTTTTGAATGTGGATATGAATTATATGGATATTGTTTAGTATTTGAATTACACATAATAAATCTTAATCAACTTCGATTAAATCAACCAACATCAAGATTCTCTTCACAAACATCTTTTAGATTATTATTTAAAATGATAAAAATTGTTGAATATATTCATTCAAAACAAATAATTCATTGTGATATAAAACCTGATAACTTTATGATATCTCAAGATGGAGATATTATTTTGATTGACTTTGGTTTATCAGAACATTATCAAGACTTTTCTTATCATCAGAAATTAGGATTTAAAGGAAGTCTTCAATTTGCATCTCCCAATCAACACTTAGGAAAGAAATATATTCCAATTGATGATATTATTCCTTTATTTTATATTCTTTATCAAAACATCACAGGAATGTTTAATCATTCTTTAATTCCATTATCTCTTACATCATTATTTGAATCATTTATTTGTAATTCATCTTGAAGATAATATTGATAAACAAGAACAATGTTATTCTTCTCAAGTTGTTCCAACAGAATTATCACAAAGTCTCTTTAAAAATATTAAATCTACATTATCAAAAATTAATCCATTCTCATCTGTTATTTCAAGAATTAAATAAAGATACTTTTAATTTCTTTCTGTTTAATGAAAATAAAATTAAATTAAAATTAAATTGCTTTTCTTTGATTCATATCTCTTTTCTTCTTCAATAAATTTAAGACCAATACAACAGTACAAAATTGCATTAAAAAGAAACAAATCCAAAAGAGTGTATGTGTAGAAGCTTCATTATTTTTTATTGTATTTTTGTTAGATGATATTGTTGTTGAAATTAAAATCTTAAGGTCATTTGTTGTTGTTCCTGTAATTTCTTCTATAGCTATTAATCTTTCCATAAATGTATCTACATCAACAAGAATATCACTTGTATCAATGATAAGTTCTTGACTCTTTACATTTCATTTAAATGTTTTGCTCCATTGACAATAATTTTCATTAAATTTGAATTCTCATCATTTAATTTATCTAATTTACTTGCTTGTTGTTGACTTTCCTAATACTAAATAAGATTTTTTGTAATGCAAAATCAATATCATCTCCATCATTAAATAATTCACTTTCAGTAAAACCAAAATTCAATCCATTAATACTTTTATCATTTCCTAATAACTCTTTAGTACTTTTTGTTTTCTTCTTCAATAATTTCAAGTGATTTAATTTGATGATTTCCACCATTTTTATCATCTAATGTAGATATTTCAAAATACATATGTTTCATTTTCCCTTCATATGTCATTTCACATCATCCTTTGTCTTTTCCTATTGAAATAATCAATTTATTTGTTTTCTCTTCATACTTTAATTTAAATGAAATACTTTCAAAATGAATAGAATTAGGAAAAATGCATTGGGTTAATTGTTTTTCTGTATTGTAGATTGTTGTTGTTCCCCTTGATGAATTTGTTGGTACTTTTACATAAATCCCTTCACTTGATTCAGTAAATTTACCCCCAAAATTGTTACCTGAAACAATTGGTTTTGTTGTTAACCATAATGCAAATCCTTTTCCAATACCATCTGACTTTATTTTTCCATTAATTTGGAAATTAGTTGGAAGTGTCTGTATCTGTTAATACTAAATCATTAGTGTAAAGTGTGAAATAACCAAACTTTTATTGTTGAAATAAGTCCATCTTTTTTAGATTCTGTTGTTAATAAAATCCCTTTTGATGTAATTTCTCCATCAACTCGTAATAATGTTTTGATTTGCCTTCATCAATAGGAGATTTAATACTCAAAAATTGAGATGACACAAGATTAATGAAAAGCAACAACCAGATCATAACAATCATATTTTATTTTCTTTTTTATTTATATTCTTATCTATTGAAAATGTTGTAATAAAATAAAGGAAGTGATGAATAAAATAGAAAGAAAGAGGATAATACAACAATTAACAAGATAATTAGATAACAAATTAATAGATAATAAAAATACATTTGAAAAGAAGATATAATAAACTAAAAAATAAACTAATTAATGATATTTAATTGTTTATTCATATTTCATTGTTTTGAGAAGTTATATTATTATAATTATTGTTAATTTCATTATCACTTTCTATATTATCTGAGTATTTATTTAATGTGATATATTGTGAGTTTATATTATTACAATTCAAATCATTATATAATTAATATATAATGTATTTCATTTATTTGTAATAATATCATTATTGTTGTTATTATATCTATATCATTTTCTATTTCTTTTATTTTAATGACAATTTATGATTAAATCAAATAATATGTATCACAATTTAATGATTTCTATTTATTTCATCTTTATATTCATTAATTTGTAATATTTTGTATTTATTTAAATAGTTATTGTTATATTTTCATTTTATAGATTAGTTACATTATTAATATGTGTTTTATTTTGTTTATTGTATTGAAGACATATTTTTATTCTTCCTGTAAATTTAATATTATCTCATGTTAATAAGTATTTGTTATAAGTAATTTTAATTAACAATATATTGATGTTATATAATGAAGTGAATATTGTATATTTATATTTTCTATTTCTATACGTTATTTTATGGTTATGAATTTAAATATTTCTTTGTTTACATATTTATATTATCAATTTGTATATTCTTTCTTATTTATATAGTAATAGTATGTAATATAGATGTTATATTATTTATTCAATATGTACATTATTTTATATTTTCATTATGTGTTATCTTGTTATCTTGATCTAGTTATTAATTAATTTGAATATATTACTAATATTTGAATATACTCATTCCATTCAATATTTAATGATTTCAATGCTTTTAAATTAATACAATTATACCATTCTTTCATATGTTTGTAAAATCTGATGATTTATAATTCATCTGCTACGAAAAAAAAATGAAATAAGAGAAAAATGAAGATAAATGATGAAAAAGAATGACATGAAAGAAAAAGTGAAATTAAGAAGTAGAAGAAGTTGAAAAGAATAAAAGTAGAATGTTGAGATTATAAAATGAAAGAAGATAAAAAAGAATAATTCAAAAAGAGATAATAAATGATGAAAATAATGATGAAATAATGGATGCATTTTTATTATAGAAATTAGAAATATGAAATAAAAAAAGCGTTTAATTTATTGATGCAAATTATTTAACATTATTTTATTTATTCAATTTATTTTATTCATTTTTATTTTTATAATTTTTATTTATATGTATTATTTATTATCTTTTTTTCTTTTTAATATATTGATTATTTTATTTTATTATTTATTATTCTTTTATTTATTTTTCTCTATTCTTTTATTTGTTCTTTCTTATTATATTTATGAAATATTTCAATATTATAAAATAATTTTATTGTTTAATTATTTAAATGATTTATATTAAAATGAATTTATTTTATATTTCATTGATTTCTTTTATCATTATTTTATATTTTAATAATTTCTTTAATATTATCATTTTATATTATTATTATCTTTATTCTTTCATATTTTTATTATTTATTATTATTATTATATTTTTCATTTCTTATTTTATTTTAATTTATTATTAATATTATTTATATTTCTTTTCTTTCTTATTATTCTTCTTTATTCTTATTATGTCTTTATTTCTTATTTTTCTATTTTATTTATTTTCATTTTATTCATATTTTCATTTCTTGTTTTGATTATTTTGATTTGATTTAATTTTAATTTTTATTATTATTATATCCTTGATTATTAATATTTATTTATCATTTATTTATTATTTGTTTTTATTATTATTATTATTTGATTTATATTTATTATTTATTTCTTTTATTATCTTTCTTTTCTTTATTCTTTATATTATATTTCTTATTTCTTATTATTTATTTTTGATTTTAAATGATTGTTTTAATATTCATCATTTTATTTATATCTATTATATTAATATTATATCATTAAATTCTATTATTAAATATTGAATAATCGATGTGATATAACAAAATAATTTAAATAATATATCATTATAAAATGAAATAATTAATAAATGATTTCATAATAAATATTAAATTCATTAAATAATGAATAATATAATACAAAATGATAAATAAAAATAAAATGATAATAATAAATAAATAATAATACAAAATATAAAGAATAATAAATATAAAAATGATATAATACAAATATAATAATCAAATTAATATATA